TGGCGATGGAGCTGACGGCGGTGGCGATTTGCACCTCCAGATCTGTTTCCTCGAAAGCTCCTGCGGCGGGTGGAGCTGACGGTGGGGGTGCGGCGGGTGGAGCTGACGGTGGGGGCGTGGGTAGGGTCAATGGGGCGTTTGGGAGGTGGCGGTGGAGGTGTGGGCAGGGAAGGGCACTGTTGAGATAACAGGAAAGGATGAGGGAAGGGAATAAGGGTATTGTGGACATTTCCTTCCCAAAGTCAATACCCAATAAAAATGACCAAAAGTCAAAATGGGTACTTAAAATCCGGACAGAGTGAGTAAGTTTTAATTACCTACATGACCCTCTATAATTGAGATTTATTCTCAAGATAGTCTTTCGTAAATAATATTACTCAAATGATGATTGATTGGAGATATTTTGGTATTTTGATCATCCAAATTTAAAGTATATTTTTGAAACAATCATTTCTGTACAACTAAATGTAAAATTTAAAACATACATTGACTATAAATAATTCATGAATTATTTAAAACTTAGAAAAATTCTTTTAAATTTCAAATGAAATACACATCTTTAATTAGAAAAACCATTTTAGGAAATCACTTCATTATAAATGATCATTTTAAGAACTAATTTTAAATTTATCGGATAAAAAATATCCAAATACTCTCAATTAATTCTCATTTAAGTAATACTCTGTATTATTTACGAAGGACCATCTTGGGATAAATCTCAATTATAAAAGACCATGTAGGTAATTTAAACTTATTGAGAACTGAATTGGAAAAACACTTTATTGTAAAGGACCATTTTAGGAATTTACTCTTTAAAATGCGTGTTGTTATTGAATGATAGTCATTAATTCATATTAAGGCAATAAACAAAACACCACGGTTCCCATGACATTGGAAATCAATGTTATGGGATGATCCAAGGTCCATATGATACTCCGTTCGAAAAATTAATTGTTCCTACCCCCTAACCTCCCCGGTAAGCCCCCCAACTCGGCCCGACCAGAACCAACTCTTCCTCCACCGTCAATTGCACCCTACAAGATGTAGTTGACTTTGGAGTCAAATTTTGACTCCAAAGTCAACTACATCTTGTGGGGTGCAATTGACGGGGGAGGAGGGATTGGTTCGGGTCGGGCCGAGTTGAGGGGTTTACCGGGGAATTAGGAGTAGGAATAATCAATTTTTCGAACGGAGCACCATAAAGACCTCAAACGGAGCTTATGTCATAGGATGACATGAAGGGTTAATGTCATTGGAATCTTGTCCTAAATAAAATGCAACATTTTCTAAATGAAATATTTACAAAATAAATTTTCAAATTCGAGAATAGGAATCATTCAGAGGTATTTGTAGCCAAAAGAGACCCATAATATCACGCGGTTCAGATCTCCGCCACATTGCGCCTCTCCACCACCTCCCTTCTCAATCGACGATCGTCATCTCCCGGACTCCATTAATCTGAGTTGAAGAGAAGACAGAGTCGTCGTCCATCGCCTTCTCTGGAGGGTAATTTGAATTCTTAATTAATAACTTCATATAGTCTATGAATTCCCGATTGATAACACATAGATCCGCTCTCTGCAATTATGATTTGTAATCTTTTATTGTACTTGTAAAGTGCTTTGATAGTTCATACATTATTCGACACTTTAAAGTGCCCCCTCCCTTTCAATGGTCCAACTTTACCTTCCTTGTGGGCCGAGACCGATGAAGGGGCCGAATTCTTTACCTTCCTTGTGGGCCGAGACCGATGAAGGGGCCGAATTCTTTGCCGGTGAAGGGGCCCAACAGATGATCTATCAATGGGTAGTTCGAGCCAACCCCAACCTTTCCTTGGAAGCCCTTGGCGTCCCTCCCTTGTTGTTTTGTGTGTTTTAAATGATGTAACTTTATGGAAACCTTTTTTTTTAGGTCGTCCCTAGGGGCTTGGAAGACATTACTTTCACTTTGAATGAATGAATGCTTATTTCTTCCCGGTGTTTTTCCTTGTTACGTTAGCTTGTTCTTCCGGAAATGCCTAATTGTTATTTACTCTTACACTTAAGAAGAATTAGAAGAAGGTGATGAGACAAGATCTAGATTTTTGTACCCTAAGTGAGGATATGACCATAGATACAATGGTTTGAAGATATATGACTAGAAACGTTATTGGCTAGCTTTTTAGGACTCATTGTTAGTTGCCATAGCTCTTTTGGATTAAGATAGTTTAGCATTTGCTCTTAGAGTTGTATGCTTTCCTTGCTTGATGACTTTTCATTATACTTCCCTTGTTTTGTTGTGTTTTGTTTTTCTCTACCCTTAACTTCCTCTTTCTTTCGTGCTCTGTATTTTTTGTTTTGCTCGAGTTGGGGTCTCTCAGAAATGGTCTTTCTATTTTCAAGCAGAGGCAAGGTCCATTCTTCCCAAACCCTACTTTCGTGGAATTATACTTGGTTATTGTTGTTAATATACCAAATTCTTCAAATACATTCATCTTCATAGCCTTCTAGGTTGGGATTTACCCAAACACATCCAATGTTATTTTGGATACATGTAAAATAGTTTCATCTTATGTTTTAGAGGTCTTGAACTTGGGTGACCTTAATCGTTGTGAATTGTTTGAATAAAATGGGACAAGGCACGTGATAATATAAAACTTGAACTATTTCGACGTGTGCCCACCCCTAGTCTTGACAGTTTGTACCTTCAAAGTATTTTGTATGCTGTCATTCTATTGCCTTATTGACTATAGTTTACATGATTTTTTTATGCACATTCAAGCAATAGACCTTCCTAGCAATATATCATTCCCTAAAAAGAGTAGATAAAGGCACCCATTTCTTTTATCACTTTTATGCTTGTCACGATTTCAATTTTCACGTCAAATTTAAGGCGCATTAAGGAGGAACATGGAGAAGAAGAAGAAGAATCCTCATTTGACTTTTAGCGTACACACCGTTGTATAAAAAGATAAAAAGATTTAGAAACCCACCATGATTGACACCACGAATGGCCCACAACAATTTATACACACCGCATTGATAATCGTCTAGGAGCTCCGTGTATTCTCATACCAATTCAAGTCTAGTGGACAATCAGGTTTTCCAACTCTGCGGAACAACTTCAAACTCAATTGTGCTACACTACTGCCCACAAGAGATACTCCTTTCGTAAAATAATCAATTTCCTATTTAAAGACTTTCGTTAACTTTTGTTTGTGTGTATTTTAATTAGTCGTTAGATAAAATAAAATATTCATGTGACTAATTATTTTGTAGAACTTTTGTTCTAAAATTTCAATATAGAAATAGTATACTTTTTATCTAACTATATCAATATGTAAATAAAATTTTTTTAAAAAAAATGAGATTTACTATGTTTTTCGTTAAATAACTCGTTTCGGAAAAGGATGGAGTATTATATACAGGGAAAGCCTCCACTTTTGCGTTTTCAAACCACACTCTCCACCCTTATCATATTTTCAGTGTCATATTTATTGTTCGACACTTCTTAACTTTAGAATGTGGTTATAAAAAAATATTCAACTTACCAATCTTGCCTCTAATCCTAAGGGCATTTCAAATGCAAGGAGTGTTGAGACTTGAGACTCTTTCAGACTCTATCATGTTAGTATTTTAAATTTTATAAAAACTACTTTATTCTTCATGCTCTCACCGACTTTGTCACATCAACATTTCACTATTTTATTCTATTAAATTTTATTTCTATTTAATAAGTTATCTAGTACGGAGTATATAGCTATAGTATACATTGATTTTTCTACCAAAATTTCATGAAGGAAAATAAGTACTCCGTTGGACCATTTATTGAATCACTTTTAAACTGCTTAAATGCGTGCAATATACGAGGCCCAAATTGGCAAACCCATCGTATAACCTTAATAATTAATGTTAGGCCTAAATCACTGAAACTCAAGTTGTTGGTAAGGACAAAGTCTACCAAACTTAGGATTAGGTACAAATAGGATTAGGGGGAGAGCAAAATTTTTAATACAGAATGCTCCCTCCATTTTTTTAAGTGTGTGTTCAGTATATCATGAATTAAAATATAAAAATTATGCTAAATTATTGTTATCAAAAAATAATTTTAATATATTATTTTTAATACTTTTTGCTAATATATTTTTAGATATATTATTGGTCAAACATTAGACTTGAAAAACAAATCAGAAAGTTAAAACGAAATAAGGTAGTTCATACTCAATAGATTAAAGTTGTTGTTTGACTTATACAGAGATTAGAAAAAATGAAAATATTTGATTGAGATTTATGCAAAGTAGAAAAAACTAATGTATCCCATCAATCTATTCTTTTTTTTTAATATGAAAAGTTAAATTTGAAACAACTAAAGAGGAAAAGTGAAATAACCTATCCCATTTTTTTTACAGTTCCGACTCCGGTAAACACCGCATCTCGCTCCGACCTGAACACGCCCCGCCACCTCTTCAATCGTACCCCACGAAGAGTTGGAGACTGTCATTATTGTCATTATAAGGCAAAGAAAACCAAATGGTCCAAAACGAAAATAAAAAAAGAAAAAGTAAAATAAGAGAATTACAACTGGCCATTTCGAGTTGTACCTAGGAATATAAATTTGTAGTAATAAATCAAAAATAAATAAATGGATCGGTTAAGAAATTGGGCATTAATTAAATGTGGTGCGGGAAGACATGTCATAAATCTATAACGTATCTCAATATAAATACCTAAAAATTCAACTCATGCCTTTAGTCGTCTTCGTATTTATTTTAGTGGAACCCAATTTTAAGATCCCCTCCAACTTTCCTCTGCAACTTACCCTTTTCACCTTGTCTCCATTTGTTACTCAATATAAACACATTTATTCCTTTTTATCCTTTTTTCCCATATTCTATTATTCCCACGCAGTTTTTGTTTTAAAAAATAATCTCTACCCGGATTCCGAAAATATTCTTTACATTTTTGGAAAAAATATATCATACTCCATATTATGATATAAATTTAATATCAATATATTTCTAATGAAGTGTAGTTTTGAAGTATCAAATTTTTATAAAATATATCTGTCTATAAATATAGATACTAATGATCAAAATGCAACATTGGAGAATGAAAAATTAAATGGGAAAAACATTTCTGGACAGAGGGAGTATATACTTCCTCTATTTCTAAATAAAACTTATAGAATACTATTAAAATGGATGGTCAATCCATATTTTCTTTAGGCATTTATTTATAGAGTCCTATAGCATAATCATACCACCCCGAATATCCTTATTGCGAGAATATAAGAATTGTACATTTTTCATACCTTCATGACGATTTTATTCTTGTAGCAGTGTATTTTCGGAAAGTTCAATTTATTTACAAAATTGCGGTCATGGTTTTTTAAATTTTTTCAGATTTTTTTTTATTTTTAATAGCTTTTAGATCTTAAATCTAATAAATCGTATGTATTCTCAATCTTTCAATATCCATCATTCTCATTTAAACTTTATGAAATCAAAATGTATGTTTTAATTGACATGAGAGTATTATATTCAATCTTCTATTTTTAACTTAAAAATGCTAAAAATTAATATTCCGTATTAGGCATAGTAGTATATTTCCTTTGTGTTTGGGGAAAAAAATAAGAGTATGAAGGGAGGGGTATTATGGGACCACAGAGCAATTATGAATAAATTAATCTAAACTAGTAGGTAAGTGTTTTGAGGTGATGACAAAAAATCTCATGTTATTGACAAAACGTCTACAAGGAAAATACTTGTAATAGAGAAACATTTACCATGTGTGGAGGGCCAAACTCTCCATTCCTACTTATCTCTTTAATTTATTTAACTTTTTCTTCCCTCTTGGTTTGGTGAATTTTAAAAGTATGATAAGATTTAAGATTTGAAATTTAAGAGGAATACGAGTTGAGGTTGCCCTGACAATGGTAGTCGGTTGCGGAAATGATCAATAATTAGGAGAAATATCAAACTCTCCTATTGATATCTCCCGAATTTAGAAGATATTGAAACCCTCCATTTGTAGTGTTTATGATATCTAGAGATATCAAACTCGATATCTCTTTTGGTTTCACCAAACACCAAAATATAATTTTGATATATATTAACACATACTCTGTATCTTTTTTACTCACCAAACACATTGTAAGATTGTGTACTTTCTCAAAAACATATTCCTCCACTTCAAGACTACAATTGTAATAACATTGTTTTTTTTATTCTCACATACAAATAAAAATTGTGACAAATTATATGTTTATTATAAGGAAAATCTTTTACTTAGATCTCTTACTAAGTGTTTTTTTATTAACTTTTAAAATTTTAAAATTCAACTCAAAGTCATAAGATGGAGCATGGATTATTTAGGGCACGCTCTATTCACAATAATTTAATTAGAATCTAAATTTCTAAAAGTGAGTAGAGTCTCGAGCCTGAAAAGCAATACCTTTACTGTTTGTGTGTCTGTATAATGCGTGGCGTCAAAATAGTGTCACCATTTTAGTGTTTCCATAGCCCAACCGATTTTTTATATTTTTAGTTGGTGTAGCTCTCTTTTACTTAATTGTGGTTTGAAATAAAACTTATTTTGCCAACATTTTATTCCTCCCATTATTTCATACTTACTTTTTTTAAAAGGATGAGTCTCATTCCCGAATGCCCTTGACGGACAGCTAATGAAAGAAGTTAAATTAAACCTTGATCGTAGATTGGTGACCAGAAATAGATCTTCCACATGCAACCTACAAGCTAAGGATTATATGGTTAATATAGCTGTCTTCCAGCACAGTTATCAAGAAACGAATGAATTTTATGGTTGCCTCCATACTTTTTTGTTTTGGATTTACATGGTTGTTAATAAAGTAAAACTATGAATGGTTTTTTTTAAAATACCCATATAGTGTGTGTAACATCTCAACTTTCCTCTATTATTATTATTGCTTTTCTAATAAACAATGCATGCATATACTTCCAAGTTCCAACCAAGTAGACCTACCATCAACCTAAATTAAGTGTAACCATACAACCTGAAAAGCCATCCTGTTGGTGGATCCCACTTTTGCCAAACAAACACATTTTGCTAACTTAAGGGGTTATTAATATAATGCAATTATAACCACATCACTTTTCGTGTGACCATCCAAACGCGCCACTATAAGTTTTCTTTAATCGTTACCAACAACTTATAATCATACTTTTTTTAATAATTTTTAAAAAACAAATACTCCGTAGAAAAAAGTAAAAAGGTACAAGTAGTGGAGCAATACGTATTAGATATTAATATTTAATTTAATTATTAATTAATTGATTATTAATTACTACTAATACAACATCTCTTCGTTTGGGAGGAGTAATATTAATAATAATAATAATACTTGTCGTAGTAAAATTGGACCGAGCGTTAACGCCACGCGGATGCGACGGCGAGTATTCGTCCCATCCAACCAAAGCCGATTCCTCCGCCGGGTTGTTCACTCACGGTGAATCCTGGGTTGCCACGTGTGCCGGTGATGAGTTTGGCTCGGAGCGAGTCCGAAACGTGTTGGCTCATCGGCCTCGAGTTGAACCCGGCCATGCTGAGTCGTGCACCCCACTTGCCCGCCACTTCGCATCTTTCAACTCGGTCCCTCCCTTCGCAAGCCACCGAGTTAGCCATCTTCCGGCCGAGTCCTTCCTCGATTATGACTCGGACCGCGCTATCCCTGGGAAGGATGGCTTCCAGGGAGTCGAACAGGGCGCCGTAGTAACCGCATGCCTCGTTCACGCGCGCCGCAAAGGGCGCTGTGTTCCCGTTCAGCTCCTGCTCCACCACCGTCACCACCTCCGGCGACAACGCCTTCACGCGCCGGAGCAGCTCGTCTCTCAGATTCTCCGTCGTGACGCTCTCGTCAGGGAGTTTGTACAATTTGAAAGCGAAATTCACGGCGAGGGCTTCGTCGGGTTCAACCCCGAGCTGCTCGCGGCTCAGCTCCCCAATCGAGCAGGAAACAATGTTCATGTTCAGGCACACACCGAGGGCTTGAGCTTGCTTTTGAAGCGCGGCTTTGAAGGCCTGGAATTGTTCGCCGGCGCCGGCATCGGAGAACGTCGTGATCTTCAGTACCGGAGGGTTCTCAGTCTTTCTCGCCGCAAGAGCGTAGAGCAAATGCAAGTATTGCCCTCCTTCGGCGATGTCAAAATCTACAACGTGAAGCTTCCGGAATCTCGGGTCGGATACCCCTTCGAGGATGGCGAGATTGGCCGCCATGAAGCCGAGCTTGAAGCACGGCGAGGCCTCATAGAGCTTCTGGGTGGAGAAATCGTGTTCTTTGCTATGCAATTCCAGTACGGGGGGAGGATATTCCGTGGGGCTCACGCGCGATCGGAGAGCAGAGGCCATGTAAGCCGCCAGTCTCTGCTCGGCGGTGCCTTTGGGGTTGCCCGTCTGGGAGAGGCGCGTGAGAATCTCCGTGGCAATCTCGTTTTTCCCTTCTGAAACCGCTGTGGCCGCCTCCGTTATGGCCAGCTTTGGGCACGTGACCGCCGGCGACTCCATGGATGAAGCACAGGACGACGTTGAGGACGAAGTTGGAGATGGAGAAATCTGCTGTTTGAGATTCGGGTTCGGGCAATCGGTCGTGCCATGGGTCGTCGGGCTAATCAGACTCTGTATGGTCTCCGACCATTCACTGTTTGTCACGGCGGAGACCACCGTATTCCCTTCCTCCTCCTCGTCGTTATCCTCCAGAAGCTGTTTCTCAAGCTCGTGTAGCTGATTCATCATCTTCTTCTCCGTCTCAAGCCCAACAGACGCCATTTCCGGGCCCAAAGCTCCTCTGTTTTGAACAGGTGAATTTTGAGAAGAAAACCCGGAAGCATAATTCGGGTTAATTGCGTCCGAATGTAAAACGCCGTTAAAGTTAACGTTTCCAGCTGGCAGGGAGGAGAGATGCGGCCGGAGCTGCCGGAGAACCGGAATACCGTACCTGGGATTCATCGCCGACGAATTCGACTGAGAAGAGATGGAGGAAACCGCCGAGAAATCGACCGGAGACAGGGGAGAGATCGGAGAAGTGTGGTGATAATTCCTAGCCTTAACGTTCCGGAGATAAAACCCTAACGCCCCTTGCCGTTGCTGGAGGAATTGCAGTTGCTGAGAGTCGGCGAGGGGTCGTTTCCCGATCAAATCAGACCGCCGATGGGCGATCTGATAAACTGGGTCAGTTAAGATTCCGGGAATCTGAGAGCCGTAGGGAAGCTGCACTCCCCCACCTCCGCCGCCGCCGCCCTGCAGAAGATTGACGCTGCTGCCGTTGACGGGAACGGATCTTCCGTTCGAGATCCCGTCGGGGACGCCGTAGAAATCCGGCACGCTGCCGGGAAACCCAGACGACATCTTTTCTCCGGCGAATAACCTTGCAACTGGGTGGAGCCGCTAGAGAATGCGTGGATATTGAACAAAATTCTGCATCCCACAAAAAGATCTTTTTTTCTTCAGGGAATAGAAGGGGGAGAGAGAGAGTGGGGGGCAAAGAAGATGTGAGGGAGAGAAAGGAAATAAAAAGGGGGGTTGAATGGAGCTTCTTCACTTGAAGCAATTGGATTGATTCTTGTCATGATTATAAGTAATGTTAAAAAAATAAAGTTGGGTTGTTACATGTTACTATGTTAGAGAGAGATAAGTGTGGGAACTCACACAATTTGAAGAAAGAGAAGCCTAATCCCCCCTCTTTGGATGATTTGTTTAATGAAAGAAAAATAGATAGGGATGAATAAGTATCGAGACCTGATATCGAAAATATTCGAAAGATCGGAAAATATCAATTTAGAAAAAATACCGTTGAAATATTGAATTGTATTGGACTAAATGTTTCGTTCGATATTTGAAATGGTACAAAATAACTTCTTATACTGAAAATCTCATACCAAATATGGATAGTAATATATTATAAATATAATAAACTTTTGTTAAATAATAAGTTTATTTTAAAAAATTTGGCTCAAATTTTATTGTGTTTATATTATACTTTTATTTGAATTTCAATTTTTATAGATGAATTCAAAATTTTTGAAGTATCAATTTGTTATGATCTGTTTACCTTAGGTTGTGAAAATATAAACTAAGTTCATAAGATTTTTTGCATTTAATTTTTTATTTTTTGTCTCTATGTTTCTTTATTTAAATATACTTTCAATTTTCAAAAATAAATGATTTTGTAACAATTTAAAGATTAAATTGGTAAATATGTATTCATCCTAATTTGTACCGTAGTTGAAATTGAACTATACCAAACTAAAATTTTGGGATCGAGATCGGTAAAATGTGAAATCCTATACAAAATCAAAATATTTGATACGTTATCAATACATGCTAGTGATATTGTCTTTGTTTTTTAATGTAAGAACTCTAGCAGTAACAGTACGGTGACCTCTCAATTTCTTACAATCAACTCAAAAATCTCTTATCGATTAAGAGATTATCCCAACAAAACAATATGTGCAATCAGACTAGATCAAACGAATAAACACACCTTGAATTGAAGATGTTACAGCACTATTTACAAATATAATGACAGACAGAGTTTTATATCATTTTCTCTATCACAAACACATAAACAATTAGGAATGTAAAGTAATGAGTAGACACAGAGAATTATTGACGCAATTCGAAGCAAATTCTCATGCATTTACAAGGTCACACCCATGTAACAGTCATTCACTAAACTAAATAATAGATTGCGCCGATCACAAACAATATGATGTCTCTTCTAATGGATATGAAAAAATCAACCTTACATAAGGCTTCTAACCGAAACATTCTTTTAATCATCTTCAATAACCTGTTTCACATTTTCGAGACATTCTCCAAAGAACGTGCTTGTAATCGTATTCCTGTTCAAGAGAGTATTCAACATTTAAATTATCTTGTGAACATAAACACCAATGTATTTACATCACCCACAATAGTGCAATATATATCGTTTTTGAAAAAAAGGTTTAATTGGTTCTTCAAAAATTTTAAAAAATATTTTCGAAGAACATACGGAGTATGTGATGCTCAACAGAGTGGGGCATGGCACTGGGTCATGACAACCTTAGCAGGACCAAATATGAATCTGGTAATTTTCGAAAATCTACTCTAAAATCTATTCCTATATACTCCACTTTTTTTTCTTTTCGTGGGAAAAAAAAATCTGAAATTATATACTCCAGATTTTTATTTTTTATTTTTTTATGATTCAACATACGTATATGCTGTCTACTTGTGTTTAATACTCCCCTCGTCACAAAATGTTTTTCATATTTTTACTTTTTCAACAGTCACGACAACTTTTGTTTATTTGTACATTTTCATTTATTATTAATAAAATAAAATATTCTTGACACCTCTTATTTCGAAAAAATTTTCATGTAATTTTTAAATATATAATTTTTTTTACCAATATTTAAATATAATGAATTGAAAAAAATTACTATTTTAACTTATTTTTTGAAATGTACTAAACATTTAAGATGGAGGGAGTAATACACTTTTGAACCGTTTAAACTTTAAATTTACTCCGTATTTTCATGGCAGTAATTATGATGATAAAAATTGTAACGTCCAAAAGCATATGATTAGGTGTGAAAGTATCGTTTTCAACACCATTAAAAACAGCAGTTTGAAAAAAAAAAGGATTGCTTCCCTTTGTGTGTTTGGCTGGCTCCCAAAATCAGGTTCCCAACCACTGTTTTGCGGCCACAATTTAAACTGCTTCCCAATTTTTCTTGTGGCTAAAAAAAAGTGTGATCCAATATTCCAATCTACCCCAACTCTTTTTTAAGATTTGATTGGTTACATTTTATGCATAATGAAAATAAAATTTTAATTTTTTTTCAATTCGCTTTGTTCAAAGATTGGTATATATAAATAAAAATAATAACTTTAAATGTTTAAAAAGAGGAAACATGTTTTAATCTTTCAAATAATTGTTTGTATTTGTCATTCCATAGTATTTTTTATATTTTATGTTGGCATTATTGAAACTTTTAACTCATTTAGAACAAAATTATGAAAGCCCTATTTGGTTGTTTTCTTATGTTTTATTTATATTTTACTCTTTTTTCTATTTACTACCAAGTACTCTGCAATTAAAATAAAAAGTTAAAACAAAATTTATACGGAGTATATGTTGACAATATTATTTTATGATATAAGTAACAAAAAAGATAATATGGAGTAGTATGTTTAGGAACATGAATTTGAATTTTAAATTTGGATTTAGTTCAAATTCTATATTTGGGAAACTTAAGAATTTGGAATTTGAATTTGAGTCAAATTTTTCTCATTCATAACAAAGTTTAGTTTGAAATTTATGCACCTCTCTTTTCATTTGAAATTCAAAATTTCAAATTTTGGTTTTAAAATGAATGAATTGAAATGAAATGTTAGTTTTCAAACACTGCCTAAATAAAGTTTGATACATGAATATTAGGGAGTAATTAATAAATGAAAGAAGTTAGAAATAAGGGAAGATCGAAGTGCCCAAATTAGACTACTTCTTTAAAAAAAAATTTGATAAATGAGTTGGGCTTAATGAGACATTGGCCATGTTTGGCAGACAAATACGGAGTATTCCTTTTTCTCCTCTTTATGAAGTGTATATTATGATCTTTGTGATATTTTACAAATTACTCCCTCCGTCCTTGAGTGTTTGTCAACTTTCATTTTTGCACACCATCTAATGCACTTTTTTAATCTATTTTATCTTGTAATTTGTATATTAAAAAATTATAAAAATTAATAATCTATATGTTAAGACGAATCAAACAAGATCACACATGACTATTTTTAGGCTTACACATTGAGAGAATTTGATGAGTCAAGTATTTAGATGAACAGTTCCAAAAGTCAAAAGTGGACAAACACTCAGAGACGGACCACCAAGTAAATAATATAAACATATCTTATGTTTGCATTCATTCATTTTTCAGCTATCATACTAGATAACTAGTAAAGAATGAGAGAATATTTGTTAGATGTTTGTACTTAATTTTTTATTCCAATGTTTAAGTAGATATTTGTGTTAAATACTAGTAAATACGAAATAGCATTTCCTCATTCCACTCCTAAAACGAGAGGAACTAGAGGAGAGAAGGCTATTAATTTTGAAAGGGGTGGTGACTATTTTCGTACGATGTTCTTCCCTACAAATCTTTCTTTTTCTTTTTTCTCTTTTGTGGGTTCAAATTCCGAATAATATGAGCCGTCGGATGCGTTTAGCTGTGATCTTTCTTTCCATCCATCCCCGAACTACAGTTGACCAATGGAGGAAGGATCTACGGCTGGATACTGAGGGACACGTACTGCCTTTTCGGATAACCCAGTTCGCCCCGACGCCACGCGCCCTCATTTCACGCGGCTACATTTTTACAATCATCAATTTATTAAGCCGACATTGCGAGATGGGAACTCCAAACTTATTAGTTGGCCACTTTACCACTTGCCAATTTTACCCTCACCAACTCCATCTTTTGACATCCATCTATCAACTCAATTCAAATACACAGAAAGATCATTGTGCGGCAATAAATACATAAAAACATAATTTCTAAAATACGGAGTAGTACTAAATAACGATATGTTTATTTTTAAATTGATCTACAGAACTAACTAATTCGTAAGATGGTATTCATTAATTGATAATATGCCCCCGATAAGCGTTCATTAAAAAATAGCATTAAAATGACATTAAATCTTGTACTACCTCCTTAAAATGGTACTCTCTAATTGACTTTTTTTCTCATATTGGTCAATTTTTTTAATAAAAATATATTAATTATGAAAAACTATTTGAAATTTGATATGATGAAAATAAAAAAAATTATTTTGAAGAATATCATGTAAATAAAACAATTCTTAATAAATGTTAAAGAAACCACTATAAATAGAAGTAAAATATAGAGAAAGAGTTCTTATTTTGATACTTTCTATAAAATTTAAAATATTTTTTCGTAATTAATGTATTTTTATTTTTAAAATGGACTAATCTGAGAAAACACCTAGTTAGAAAATACCATTTTAAAAAATTAGCATAAGGTACTTCATTTTAATTCTGTTTTAATGGCCATTAGTCGGGGGCTGAACTGATTACTATTCTCAATTAACGAGTATCATCTCAAGAATTAATGAATTTTGGGATTAATTTGGAAAAAACATAGTTATTGAGTATGATTTTGAGAATCTACTCATAAATAAATAAACAAATAAACAAACACAATCTCTCTGTTTCAAAAAGGATACCACTGTTACCATTACGATCTCTCGATAAATTTTGGTTGCTTTTATGTTTTCATTGATAATTTGAAATAAAATATTCTTGTCACCTACTCACCTACTTTTTTTTACAGAATTTTTTATATATACTTTTGAACGATGTAATTTATACTTTTCTATATTAATTTATAAGTAAAACAATTTTAAAAGTGATAAGATTTTACATAGTTTTCAGAGTGTGACATCCATTATTATTGGACAGAAGGAGTAATTATAAAGCCTATATGTTTGTTATATACTGAATATTCGATCATTTAGTAATATCATATGTTC